AGTAATAAAATCCAAGATGTGTAAATTTTGTTGTAAAAAAGAGAGGGGAAAAAAAAAAAGAAAAAGAGCTCTAACGGATATAACAGCAAGTGTGTTTGGGGGTGTTAAATAGCTGACTTTATCAATGTTTTTGGAACATTGAACACAGCTGTTTGCAGTCTCCCTGTTTGAATGTCCACCTTGTGTTCTTTGATACTGTGATTTGAGGAACTATTTTCAAGAAAACAGTGTGTAATCTACTAGCAAGTAATTTCTTACTGTTATGGTTTTTTGTTTTGTTTTGTTTTGTTTTGTTTTGTAGTTCTGTATTGCGTGTACCCTTACGCCGCTTTGGTTTGTTTTGTGTTTTTCTCTTTTTCCTCTTAAATTAAAAAAAAAAAAAAAAAAAAAAGAACACACTCGGATGTTCATGTAAAAACATACTTTCACTGATGTCTGAAACTTAAACCTGTACCTTCAACATGAATATTAATTTTAAAAATTATTCTCTATTAAATCAACCATAGTAGGTCATTCTAATATCACTTCAACAAATGTTCACGTCAGTCTACAGAAAATATGTGAAATATTTTTGTAGTAAACACTGTATGTTTTGAAAATGTATATTTGCTCACTATATTTTAACACAATTAAACAGAACATCTAATAAAGTTAATATAAGATTCTTATGAAGTCCTTATATACAAAAATGTAATAATATTTCTTTACTCCATTTTTTCTCAAGCAATCTCATTTACTGTAATAGCCTTCTTCTAAAAATCAAGTGCTGTAATCTAAGAGTAAATATCAATCACTTAAAGATATGAAACAGTAACAGAGAACCAAGACTAAAGAATGGCCTTAGTAAGATAACCATGATTGTAGCCTCAGGGGCCATTATCATAATCATGGAGTTTGTTTACATGTGGGTACCGATGACTTACTTTCTCAACTTTTGAATAAAAGATAATCCAAAATAATATATGATATTTTCAAACACCTGTAAAGACAAGCCCTACTAGTTATTTTCACTTGCATTCACCAGACAAATGATTTTATGTGTACTTTAATTTCAGAGAAAAATAAAATAAATTTTTAATATTGAAAAAGCTGTTTCAACCAAGATTTTCTTCAATGGACATTTAGAGCAATCAAAGGGTCTTAATAATTTTATTCAATATATGTTATCAAAGAAAATCTTTAATCAACAGGCTCACTTTAAAAATACTGCAAAAATGAAGCTTTTTCTCCACCTCTATTTTCTCTGATGTTTCATGTTTGCTAATACTTAGGCAATACATTATATTTAAAAATCCACTTATGTAACATGTCAATTCTCTGAATACCTCCTTTACTGGCCTCTATATAAGTGCTCTAAATATTTAACTGTAATTATTTTTAGCAATATTAAGTTCTTACAGCAATATTAAAATTGAAAATATCAGTCTCTACAAGAAAAACTAAGGTGTCTTTAAGATATAATTTAACTCAGTTTTGGAGGCAATTATGTTCAGATACTTATTTTGGAATACATGATAACAATGCATTTTTGTTTTCTAATTAGCAAAACGTTTCTCTTTATTAACTTGTTTAAATTGTATTTAACTGCTATTCCCACAGATAGGTATAATTTTATATATTGGTTTTAAATCCTGTGTCATTTTAATATTAACAATAAGTGCTTTTCCTTATGCTAGATATTACACTAAATGTACTGTTAAAAGAATGTATACCCATCTGCAATGCTCATGTACAAGATACAAGTATTAGTGTGTATCAGAATCATGTGAAAGAATATACTTATGCTATTGTTACTAAGAAATATCATAAATAAATTTTCCACAAGTAATTGCATAAAGTGCCTACTTTTTGTTAGATCCAGATTATAAGATTATCTAAATTATAAGAGATAAGTAACACATTACATGGTTCTTTCTAAGGCCATAATATTATAATATTTCATATGTCCCATGATCAAAACTTGTCCTTTTTATCTGAAAATTTTAAATGATTTTCAATTAATCCACCAAGTACAGATGGCCAGAAGGCCATCAACTAGAGGGCTTGGAAAAGTAACTACAGATATGCTATTATGCAGAACAGGGATTGAAAGAACACACTCTGATGTTCATGTAAAAACATACTTTCACTGATGTCTGAAACTTAAACCTGTACCTTCAACATGAATATTAATTTTAAAAATTATTCTCTATTAAATCAACCATAGTAGGTCATTCTAATATCACTTCAACTAATGTTCATGTCAGTCTACAGAAAATATGTGAATTATTTTTGTAGTAACAAATACTGTATGTTTTGAAAATATATATTTGCTCACTATATTTTAACACAATTAAACAGAACATCTAATAAAGTTAATATAAGATTCTTATGAAGGCCTTATATACAAAAATGTAATAATATTTCTTTACTCCATTTTCTCTCAAGCAAGCTCATCTACTGTAATAGCGTTCTTCTAAAAATCAAGTGCTGTAATCTAAGAGTAAATATCAATCACTTAAAGATATGAAACAGTAACAGAGAACCAAGACTAAAGAATGGCCTTAGTAAGATAACCATGATTGTAGCCTCAGTGGCCATTATGATAACCATGGAGTTTGTTTACAGGTGGGAACTGATGACTTACTTTCTCAACTTTTGAATAAAAGATAATCCAAAATAATATATAATATTTTCAAATAAATGTTACACAAAGTGTAACAGTGTTAACACATGTTATCATACAATAAACATGTTTTTAAAGATTTCTTGCTGATTATACATTTGATTTTTAGAAATTTTTACTGCCAGATCCAGAAACAGGCTGAAACCTCTGCACTGGATCATTCCAAGTGGACAAGTTCTCCTGGAATATTTATATATAGGAAGTAAACTGCGTAGTACACAGCACAGTTCAGATCTATCTATCTATATATATATATATATATATATATATATATATGTGTGTGTGTGTGTGTTTAAAAGAATGTTTCCATCTAAATATTTATCATAGAACTTGTACATACCATAACAATCCACAATTTTTATTTGAAAGGGATAATTATAAAAAATTCTGGAACATTTTGAAATACAAAAGTGAGAAAATCTGTAGAGATAAGCTGGACATTTTTATATTTCTACATACTATTTTCATATAATTTTAGCAAAAGGCAACTCAGAGTAATGAGTAAATAACTTGTCAAGGAAGTTCAAACTGCGTAAAATTTAGTGCTGTGCAGTTAAAGTTCAAAAGTTTCTTTTCTTGCCTCAGTCCCCAAGAATACTACCTATCTTTAAATTTCATTAACTAGGTCTAAGATTTCCTAAAAACTTATTCTTTCTCTTTAAAACAAATCCAGAGAGAAAAGAAGACTAATGGAAAATATCTGAAAACAAAAATATCTCATATTGTTTTGCTTACAATTTTTGTTTCCAATAAAATTATTTTTAACCATCATGAGTCAAACTTGTGTATTCTTAAACCCTCAAATGCTTACTGGTGTTCATCAGTTGAACCACCCTACTGGACTGCTAAACTATCTTCTAAAGATGTCCCTGTCTACTTGTGCAATCATTCACTCTGACAATAACTACATGATGAATCCCATGGTGCCAGAAAATATCAACAAATTGTACTTGCAGATCCAATAGAAGTGGACTTTGTTTCTTATGTTGTTTGAAATAGCTAAACTTTGCTATTCTATGTTTTAAATGATAATCTACACTGAATAAAATGAGAGAGCAGCCCAACACACTTGTTACATTGGTATGCTTCCCTTATTTCTTTTCACACTGGTCAATTGTCAAAAATTACATAATATGGTTAAAGTAATGGAACACTTATTTGAGTTTCTTAAAAACAAAATTCAAAGAATATTCAATATCTACATTTATAGTGATGCTTTGGTTTACGAACTTACGTTGTTCTATGATTTTATAAAAGATGGTCACATTGTGTTTGTATGGGAAAGATGGTCATGATAGTGTTTGTCACCTGATGCACAGTTTGCAAATTTATAACATTTTGCCATGTGCTTTTCTTGGGAACCAAAGTATCACTGTAGAATCAATATAGTACCATAAATTCTACCTATAAATATAGCGTAGGTCTATCTGCTATTTTTGCTGGCCGCCACAATGACTACTCTCCTAACTACAGAGGACTCTTCATCCTCCTCTTTCCCAATTATCTCTTTGCTTACCAGTCATGGTGTTCTTAAAATGTAAAATGGCTCATTTTACTCATTGATGGATATCTCCCAGCTCATATTTTCTTGGAATAATACTTAAGTCCTTAGTGTTTTTTTTTCTCTCCCTCCCCTTCATAGAATTTGATTATTATCTTTCAAATCTTTCTTTCTGTAACTCTCTCTTTGCTTAGTAAATTCTACTTATCCTGGACAGAATTCTTCAAATACCTCAAGCTCATTTCTCCACTGCTCAGGGAGTTTCTCCTGCTTTCAATGTGCATCTTTCTACTCCTCAGATTTATTTCTTTCTCTTCCCTAACAAAGAGGCTAAATATCATCCCAAAGCACACGCATTTCCAACTTTCCCATTCTGGTTTGGGGTGTCACTGCTCATCCACAGAATTTAAACAACCATTATAATTGTTTATTAATTTACTTTTTGTACTCCATAATGATACAAAACATGTCTGCCTGCATTACCACTTTTCTCTACCTAAATTTTACATTCATCAAAAAATAATGCAAGAGCAAATGCAACTTAATTTCAATTCAAGGTCTATTTAAACATTGACATCTATTGAAATCATAAGCTTAATAGATAGCTATAGATATATAAGAAATTTAATCTTTCTGTGGGTGTAGAATTTGATCACTAACAATGTACACTGAACCAATTCAAACTATTTTGATTACTGAAATATATACATCAATCTCCACCATGTTTATACCCCCAATAAATGCTGAGTGAAGGGTACAAATAAGATACTTGCTAGGATTTGTTGACATATAGTGTGACATGCACTCAAAATCTATCTTGACTTAATGAATTACCCATGTAATTAATTGTCTTCATCCCGGGCATGGCAGCTCACGCCTGTAATCCCAGCACTCAGGAGGCTGTGGCAGCAGGATTGCTGTGAGTTGGAGACCAGCCCAGGCTACAAAGTAAGCTCAAGGCCAGCCTGAACTGCACAGCGAGACCTTGTCTCAAAAAGACAAAAAAAAAAAAAAAAAAAAAAAAAGTAATTGTCTTCATAAACATGGGTACACACTGAGAGATGCATCAACTGGGTTAAACATATTTTTGCTAAAGCAGAGTAATTTTTTAATAAATGGACCTCTGGTGGCTACCAAATATAACATGTATATTCATAGTTGCCTTGCACATGAAGCAAGACTGTATTTCATATACCTCAGAACTCAGTACAGAAATAAAATGTTCTAGATTTTGAGGAGATAAAGTCTGAGTTTTAAATAAGTTAGACACCTAATTAATACTGTGTCTTTAAATATATGGAAAATTAAGGCAGTAAGAAATATAAATACACATGCTTTCACTTAGAAAAATGATCTATGAAAAAAATTACTTTCTGATTGATTCAAGGAGGTTCAGGTAATACAGTAAAATTGATTTATTTTGACTATACAACACACAGCTTTACAGTCAGTTGGAAGATAAGAGATCCTTCCTATAGTCACATTACTCTTAGTATCATGTTAAAAGAACGAGTAGTTCAGTTTTTTATTCATTGTCTTATTTGACCCTGTCTCAATTATAAAAACTGGAATTAGAAGAAAGGGGTAAAGATGCCTAATACACTCTTTCTGCCATGATTTTACTTAATTTGGTAAAACTACACACACAATACTAAAAATCTGTCACAGTTCTTAAGAGACACATAACATAATTTTATCCGCCATAAACAAATTTTAAAAGTAAACATTAGTAGAAACATGGAAAATGTCCTTTTGAAAATAATATTAGTGATATTTTTGTGCAAGAAATTTAACTTAAACATGACATTAATCTTTCAACATTGTATATATAAAATTTTATAATACCCCATGTTTCAGATGTACAAAAAATTGATATTTTAAGTATTCATAAAATTGAAAATTTAAAAATATTCCTATAATGTTCATAAGAATAACACTAAAAGGTTGATACTTAATCATTTATGTGATGTCTTCAGTATTTAACACTTAACTACACTTATCAGGCACAATTTCTAACCACTATAATTTAGGTTGTAAGAAGCACTTTATAGTGAGGCCTTACTTGAAACATTATTTTTATAATGCAGGGGGGGACATAGCTCAGTGTGAAGGCCCTGGGGGTAGTGCAAACAAGAAATGAAGACAAACAAAAAATATACAAATAAAAATATGATTATATTGGGGCTGGGGATTTAGCTCAGCGTCATAAGCACCTGCCTTGCAAGCAGGCAGTCATGAGTTCGATCCCTGGTACCGATAAAAAAAACTAAAAAGACCAAAAAAATATATATATGATTATATTTTCCCTACAGTTTTGTTTTGCAGAACCCGAATATCAGAATTTAACCTTTAGTTATTTTTTATACAAGTGTACTCCTATGCAAAACTTATGTTTTCAGTATGCTAATACAAATTACAAACTTTAGTATATAGTATTTAACAATTAGGTTCAAGTAATGAAAAGTCGTGTACTATTCATTCAACATGAACTTCAGCTACTTTATACAAATAAACTATATATTTGATATCTATTTTATGTAAAACATTATTAAATTACATGGAGAAATCATTAAAAGATAAATATTACCTGAGAAGTTAAAAATAGCATTAGTTGGCTTTTAAATTCAAAATAACTACCTGAGAAGTGATACTTTAATATTTCGATGGAATGACATTTGTGGAGACTCACATGTATGTTGTGTTCCTATTAATAAATCCAGTACCTAGAGTGGCTGTTCAAGCTTCACAGGTACTAAATATTTAGAAAAATTGTTACGTGGGAATAACTGTTAAGAACTTCTAGCAAACTTGATTATCAAACAATACAGCACTTTATCATTCGTGATATAAAACTTAATAATCTAAATGTCAGACGTCTCAAGTATTAAAAATTGCTTTCTCCCATAAAAAATAAAATAATTACATTATTTTAATAATCCTCTATTTTCTTTAACTACCTCTTCGATTATGAACACCAACTATCCTTGAAAACAAACAAGGGACATGGTATGAACATATACGGCATTATAGGAGTGTGACACTACAATGGTCATCTTATAGGATGTTTTAAAAATCATAAGGGTTATGAATGATTTCCAAATTCACACATGCATTTATAGGTGCATTCTGTCAGGTGCATAATAATTAGAAAAACATACTAATTGCATAAGTGAAAAATGAACAGCAATTCTGAATTCTACATAAAATATTAGAAAAAATGATACGGTTGTACAGACACGAAAAAAATCTTTACTGTTTCGCTTTCCCTCTCTCAATCTTCTCCTGTTCTCATAAATACTACAGTATAGAATCCCAAGTAATCTGACCTCCACTTTTACATCTGCAAATTAATTAAAGGCCCTGAAACACATGAGCTGTATGTTAAATGGCAGCTCTAACTGACCACAGGTGTTTATATTTAAAGCCTTTAGAAAACCTCACAGACAGGGGTGGTCATCATAGCAGTGAGAGCACCCAACTAAGTACAGGTTGCAAAACTTTTTATGGTCGTTCCATACCTAATTTAATGAGATTTAGAATATAGAGGTGATGTTTTTGTAGATCTTTAAATATCCAAATACCCATGACAGAAATCCAAATCAATGTTTTATAAAGATTGTGTAAATAAAAGGAAAGAAAATACTCTTTGTGTTTTCCATTCCCCTCATGCACTCCACCACTTTACTCAAGGAAACAAAGTCCTTAAAAATCTGACAGTGGTCTGCCTTTTTGACTAGGATATTTACAACTTGGAAAATTCACACTCAACATTTACCTACCTCCCTCTCTCACAAAACAGAAAATACAACACAGATCTGTGAGCCTCTGGTCTAGGAATAATTTCAAAGCAATCTACATTCTGTGATCTAGAGTGGGCTGGAAGGCTGAGTGAGAACAGGCAAGGGAGCCACACTCAGGCACCAGGCTGACAAACGCCCCAGGGTACAGCAAGGAGAATCTATCATCTTATCCAGTTATGCGCAGCAGCCCAGAGGCAGGCAGCTCCGCTAAGTGTGTGCCTTAGAGTCTGACCTCTGGCGGAGGCTGCGTAGGGGTCTGTCTGCCCTTTAGCCCGTGAAGGGACTCACGTGCCGCTGATGCTTATGCACCCATTCAAAGAAATCTGTGCACACACGAATCATAGCTCCTAGGGCTGCCGTCCCGGATAGTGCAGACTGAGTGTTCAGGTCAAGGAACACATATAAGGTGAGCCCTGGAGAAGCTGACCCGAGACAAGTTGCCCGCAGCAGGCCGAGAGTACACCAGCGCGCGAAGGACCGTCCTCCTCCCCCTCCCGCTTCTGACCCTGTCCCTTACCTTGGTTGTTGGAGACATGACTACAGTAGCCCGGCCAAGCTGTCCTCAGAGGCAAAAAGAATCCAAATTGCCAAAGAAATTCTCGGACTTCGCAGACCCCCATGGCTTTCGCTGGCTCCTCTCTCCTTGTGTGAAAGAAGTGGAAGCGGAGAGGCCAGGTGTTGTGGGGAGGTTGGGATCCTGGTCCATGTCTTCCTCTTATTCTTCTTTCTCCTCTTCCACCCGGCCCGCAGGGGTGTCCCGGGGCGCCCACCGCGCCAGGCCCCGGGAGCAGGGCACGAGGGTCCAGACTGCCCAGGTGCGGTGGCAGCCGCTTCGGAGCTGCAGCTGCCTGAGGCGCCGGGAACCTCCTGGGGGCTGGAGGCGAGGGGAAACGCACTCACCGCCGTGTCCCACCGGCGCGAAGACTATTCACTCGGGTCCGGGAGAGCGCAAGCGCAGGAGCGAGCTCGGGCTGTGGTGTGGGGGCGGGGCCGAGGAGGCGGGGGCGGCCGATTGGCGGCCGGGATGGGGGCGGGGCCGACCGGGTGGTCTGGCCAGATCGGGCCGCCCGAGCGCCTCTCTGGACTGAGAGGCGCGCTGTGCGGGGCGGCGCGGCACTGCAGCGGAGCAGAGGCGGGCAGCGAGAACTTTCCTCCGGCTGCTGCGAGGAGAGCCGAGCGGGGGGTGCGGCCGCGCGGGGCGGGGAAGGGTCCGAGGGAGCTGCGAGCTGAATGCTCAGCCCTCGCCTGAGCGGCGTCGGCAGCAGCTTGCAAGGCGGGCACCTCGGACTCGTCTGCGCCCGCGCTGCGCCCAGGCGGTGCGAGCCGCTCCCCGGCGTCTCCGAGGCTGCGCTCAGTCCCTGAAGCACTTAGCCCCCATTTTGCAGCTGCAGCGCTGACCTTGACTCCCCCTCACTTCCCATTTCCGCGCTGGAAGAGGTGCTCTTTGAAACCACCCACCCCAAGTCCAGAGCTCTAGGCGCGCAGCTGGAAAGGGCCCCCGGGGTCCCCAGGGCTCAGGCTCTCGGCCCCCTGCCGGGAGCGAGGGCTGGAGAAGGGCGAGCGCAGCGCAGCTCTACCCGGTCTGGCGCTCTCAGGCTTGGCGGCGCGGCTTGTATCTCTGTTCAGCGCTGGAGGGGGTAGTAGACCGCAAAATTTTTTAAACAATATGAGTTTTAAAGAATATGAGTACAAAGCACCAAGAAACTTTTCTTAAAATTAGATTAAAAGAATATTATAACAGAAGAAAGAGGGGAAGAAACAGAAGAAAAAAGTTTTAAGTTCATTTCCAAAATTCATTATTATTTACAAACCATAGTACCATACCTGAAATATAAACACGTACTTCAAAATAACAGTAACAATTGACTAAAACTAAATTTCTCTCCTTCCCCCACTATAACTACAGTTCTTTTACTATTCACAATATTTTTTTTAAATAAGCCAAGGTCAAGCTTGTCATAATAAGTATTTCTTGGATAGCTAGTTGGTCATATGGTAAGGTTTTAAAGAAAAAAAAATATTTCTCAATATAGAAACACATTTCATAGAAAAAGTTTAGAGATGTTTAAACAGTATCAATTATATATCTGAATGCAGTACGGTATCAACTATATATCTGTTTAATAAAACTCATCTCAAAAGGTGAATTGGAATATAAAAATCATCACTTTTGACTATAACAAGATTATGTGAATTTGACATACTGTGTTTTCAAAACATGATTGCAAAAGGAATTACTATAACTATTTGAGCATTATTGTGTTATATTTGTTAAACTCTTCTTAGGAACACAATTGTCTTCCCATGAGGAAGAGTTAATGGTTAATTACCTTGTATGAAGAACAGTTTGTTTCATGATGATTGCATGGTTATTTTATGCGAGCTAGAAACAACTGCAGTTTAAAAAAATATGCTTCTTTTTTATTTTCTACCAGTGTTTATATATCTACTGACATGTGACACTTTCAAAATGATAAGCCAGTCAATGAACCAGATGCAATATCCATGTAGATTTATCTGCATTTGTCTGTTTGAATCATACCAATATTCAAAAAAGCAATCATGTATCATTTGTCACAGCTATATTGTTCAGAATTGTTTTGTATTCTTTCAGACCATTGTTTTTCATGATAGATGTGGTCCGAATTCGATTAAGAAATGATTAAAATTTTTATTAAGTAAATGATATATATGACACAAATCTAATCTACAGTTTCATTTACAGTAGAAATAACAGTATCCATACATCTGCGTATAAAATGCTGAAAAGAGGAAAGCCTAAGCCTGCAATTAATTTCTTTGAAGAAACTAAAGAATAATTATAATGTTTAATACTCAGCATGTTTCAAGGCTTAAGAAAACCCTAAGTATATTATTTTGGTAGAAGAGTAAATTAATCCATTTATAGAAGTGATTAGCATTCTCTGAGGTCAAGATAAGAGAAAGGAATACAAGGAATGTTGATCCTCAGGCATGTCAAAACATCAGGTCTTAAAAGATTAGGTTCGTAGTTGAAACAATCCAAATTGCCTAAGCCTTTTTGGTTAATATAACATTTAGAGACATACTGAGGACAACAATAATAAATACATATAAATAAGTATGTGTGTATATATATATATATATATATATATATATATGAATTTTATATGTTTCAATATCTAAGCAGCTAACTTTCAAAATTCCGTGAAATAATGTATTGTTAATTTGAGGCTCTTTGGTTTCAGAAGATACAAAATGAAGAGGAGACACTCTTTGTTTATCTCAGAAATTTTTACACGTGTTACTTTTTGAAAAAAACACCTAAAATAATTCTGCGTATTTTATTTTAGTATATGAAAACTTAAAAATCTTGCACAAAAATGATGCAGCTTGAAGTTACATAAGGCATATTACTCCTGATTCTATTGTGATAATTATATATTATTGCTGTCATATGATATATTAGAGTAAAAGTAAAAGTATATGGATATATGCATAATGCACCTATCATGTTTATAAAACATTTGTGTGCAGTTAAGTGAAAACATCCTTTTCAGTACTTTTCTAATTCAGTAACTATTTACCAAGCAAGATTTTCATGTACATTTATGCCATGTACTATGCAGAAGTTACAAAGATTATTTGCGTTTAGCTCTGATATCTCAGAGGTTTTATCATATTGCAGAGCACAAACACATGGATTGTATTATTCGAATAGAAATGATTCTGTACAGTGCCATCATGAAATTCCAAATTATTAGAGAAGAAGAAAGGAATCAGACTCTTTCCTTCAAAGGCCTGAATCTCTATAGTTACTGCTTTTGTCTGAAGTAAACATGCTTTTGGCATAGGTTGGAGAAGCTATCCTCTGAAGGTTTGTCTATGAAGTTTTACAAATGTTAAATCCATGCTAAGGGCTATGCACAGTGTAGTTCAAACTTACATTTTTAGTGAAATTGACTTACATCAATGCATATCAGGTATCCTCAAAAAGTAATTTACCTACAAATACAAAACTTTTCAAAATGTATTTAAATTTATTTATGAGTAGCATGTTGTTTAGTATCTCTTCCATGTAACAGGATGGCCAACTGTATCAAATAACATTCTTTTCTTTGAATAATAATATCATTAAAGACCATTTTCTAAATATCAATGGAGTATTTTCTAAATGGCAAAGAAGGAACATATCTTTACAATTTTTTGTATAGTGAAAGATTTCTTATTATTTCCATTATAACAAGTTTCACAGGATTATTGCTATTAATTTCTGTTCAACTATTCAAAATAGACAGCTAATCAAAATATACCTTATATTTTATCTTACATTTTTTCTACATTAAAATAATTTATACCTTATTTCATGAAAAGATAAGGTTAGATTTTTGAAGAACTCTTTGTTATGTCAAATACTTAAATGTTAAATTTATTAACTAATTATGTATTTGAATAAAATTATCATCTAAATATTCTAGTTATTGTGATACTGATAATGCAAGGTATTCTCTTTTGCTACACTAAATCTTTTATGATTTAAACATGCTAGATCTAGAGAAGGAATTCCGAATGCATCTTGTAAATTGGTTTTCTTGAGTAAAATTCCTTCTTAAAATATTTTAGTGTAGTTTATAACAGGTACCTGGTTGTATTTTGGCTCTCACTTCTATATTTTTACATATTAAATTTATAAATAAAACTATGAATCATGAGAGCCATTTTATTTTATATAAAGTGAACAACAAAAATACAATAAATCCTTGACATGTCCAGTGTGCCTTTGAAGTGAGGAGTTCTGTATCATTTTAATCATAGCATGTTTGCTTTTCTATGGCTATTAAAATGATTTTAAATATCACATTTATTAGACAACGAAAAATTTTGTGGGACTCACTTATACAAGTGCTCATTTGACAACTAGTATATGTTTTCTCATATGCTTCCCTAAATTTGATACAGACACAATTAAAAACTTAAAACATTCAAAAACAAGAAACATTTCTTTTGCATCTCTACCAAGTATTAAAAAATGAGTCATTTAAATAAAAATTACATTTAATTTTTTGCTCAAGTTTATCATCTCTGTAAGTCTTTTCATAAAATATAATTTAATTCTTGGCCTATTCCAGCAACAAAAGTATCTAATTGTCTCTGTCAATCATTAAATACTTCTATTGAAAACATTTGAATCAATCTGTGAATGTAACTTTACTAATTACTATATGTAAATAATGTATGTTACATCTTGTGCCGAAGCTGAATTTATATGAAAATGATATTTTGCTCCTCAGAGAACTACAGTAAAGTTAGTATACTTTAAAGTTAGTATGAGAAGAGTTTTAAAAGTCTATTGAAATTTATAATATTTGGAATTGAATTATGACATCATTGTTATTTTCACAGTTGAAAATAAAATTTCCTAAATTTATACAATAAAACATAATTGCATGATTGACTTAGGCTGCTACTAATTTAAGGTCAATGTCTATTCTATATTTATTTGAGCCTAATTATTTATAGTCTGCCT